TTATTTATTTGATTTATACCCCACCCATCTGGCCTAAAAGGCCACTCTAGGCAGCTTCCAGTGAATATAAACAATAAAATAATACAAAAAGTTACATAAATCGCATTATAACATACACAATACAAAGATAGCAGAAAATAAATAAAAGGAGAACAAGAGAGGATCAGATGTTAGCTGGAGGGAAGGCCTGAATATATAGCCATGTTTTTAGTTGACTTTTAAAAGTGCCCAGAGTGGGGGCCGTGCGAATCTCAGCTTGATGTGTAGCAGGAAATTTTGTGATAATGGTTAGTCCTGCAAGTTTGCTACATAAAACAAAGATAGGATAAGCTCTGAATGCTGAATTTAAAATCACTGGCCTCACAGATATATGCATGCTTAGTTGGAAGTAAGATCCATTGTTGAAGAGGGTTCCTTTCTAACAAGTGTATTTATGGTTGCAGCCTTAAATATAGTAATTTGTACATAATTGATAGCGCGGTGAGTTGGAACAGTCATGGATTGGGAATTTATTTCCTCTGTGCCTCCCGGAAAAAGAGCCAGTCTCTGTGTCTTTGGACAAGCTACATTGTCCCAGAGTGCCTTCAGAAACAGGCACCAGTAAACCACTTCCGTATACTATATATTTTTAAAAGCTATGAGAAGGGCCAACATAAGTGTGAATCAACTTGACAGTGCATAGTTATTGTGTAACTGAAGTGAATTTAAGTATAATGCAGTCACTTTCCTCTTTTCTTCTCACAAGTAAGATAGATCTTATTAAATACGAACTCTTAACAGTTCATGGCGAAGGGAATGAACTATAAATATGTATGAATGTGGCAGAGTCTGTTTGGAAGGCCTACAAGATTGGGGAGGGGGGAAAACCCAGACAAAAACCTTCCAAACATTGTGATAGTTTAAAGACTGGCTGATATATTTCAACGTGAGCTTTCATGACATTTCTTCAGACATTTAGTCAAGGAGTAGTTCCAATTGGCCCTCTGTGAACTGGGTATTCTAATCTATGGTAAGGACAATAAATGCAGAAATAGACTAAAAATTGTTCAATTCTTGTTTAAAATCAGGACCAAAGGACATATTCTGTTCTGTTCTGTTTCTGTATGTGATTTTCATGCACTCTGATTAAATCCTCAGCCTACAGTAGTTTGAACTGTTCCTGAGATGGTACAGAAGGCTGTGTCACATCTGATGTGGAATACCATACCATCCTAATCATATCTAAAACAAGGGAAAAAATCTCTCAGCATGAAGAAAATGAGGCCAGTGGCTCTAGTTCAGATTTGTGCTTGGATGTAATTTTTAGCCAACAGATCATTCAAAAGAAATATTGTCTGTTTTAATACTATCTAATCATGAGGAAAAAAAAATCATTGTTGTCTTTTTCTTGTCTAGGTAACATCCACAAATGAATTTTTATGTTTGTTAAACTCACCCATAACTTCACTTAATAGCCTTACTGTAAAATGTTCTGTCTCCTTAAACTACATCTGTAGATATAGCTGCAGAGCTGTTCCATTTTGGGTGAGTTTATGATAGAACTCTACCAAGAATTTTATGCGGTTATAACAGAACATTATTTTCTTCCTGTAAGTGACTTGTCAAACTGTACTTTCAGTAGTGTTCTCAGATGGTCAGACCCCATTAATCTCTTTCTTACCAGAAGATTCAACCAGGGTTAAATGTAGTACCCTGATGAAATAATACAGTACAACAGTGGTCCCCAACCTTGGGCCTCCAGATGTTCTTGGACTTCAACTCCCAGAAATCCTGGCCAGCCGAGGTGGTGGTGAAGGGTGAAGGCTTCTGGGAGTTGTAGTCCAAGAACATCTGGAGGCCCAAGGTTGGGGACCACTGCAGTACAAGACATAGTTGACTATTGTTGCTTTATGGGTTTCATGCACATTCTTGACTCAACAATCAACACCCCCCCCTTTTTCACCTTCTCTAGCTCCTAATGTCAATGGCCTTGAGGAACCTAGTCTTGCCAAAAGACTGCGTGGGACACCAGAGCGGATTGAATTAGAGAACTACCGACTCTCGGTACAACGGGAGGAAGAGCTGGAGGAGGTCCCTGAGGAGACTTTGGCAGAGCACAACTTAAGCAGCGTGCTAGACAAAGGAACAGAAGAAGATGTGCCTAGCAGGTTATTTTACATGTAGAGCTAACTTGTGTCATTCATCAATCTCCTACAAAAGCTACCCTGGGGAAGTGTGGACTCTTGAATGCTTCTTAAAAATAATCAGCAAAGGGCCTGTTGTCCTTCCCTTGGAAATTTGAGCCCCAGCTGTGAACCCATATAAATCCCTCCTCCTCCTTCTGTAGTGTCACTTTTGGGGGACGCTATGGTAGAAGCAGGGTATGTCTCAATATGCATATATCCTTTAAGTGCCCTCCTTTCTTCCCCACTCCCCCCACCACGTACGTATAAGGGCAAAAAGAAGGAGATACACTTAATGTTGTTGGAATAGAAGCTAAAATTGATCTTTGGGTTTGGTGTCTGTGGAAGGGGGTGGATTCATTCATTCATTCATTCATTCTGCCTACCTCTCACCCCCTCTCTCTTTCACACACACACACACACACACACACACACAGACACACACACACACACACACACACACACACACACACAGAGAGAGAGAGAGAGTTTTACAGCAAATACTCATTTATTTATGTAAAAATCAAAAGATGCCCTAAGCATTAAGCTCACATGTATTTGCATGACTGCGCTTTATCTCATAATTAAATTTCTTGGGCATTTAATGAGACTGATGTCAAAAATCAGCCTCGTAAGATACTATAGATAAGATAGTACAAAGGCAAGGGCATGCGATACCTTTATTGGGCCACGAAAAATTGAACTAATCTCTGGCTTTTGACTTAAACCTGTCTTCCTCAGACTGTGCAACAATATTTTGTGGATAGTGCAAAAAGAAAATACATGTGAGAGTCCCAAAAATTCTTGGCAGGTGCCAAGTCTTGCTTTATAAAAGTGAGTAAAATGCAGGCTGCAAAAACTATTGGTGATGTGGTTTCAAACTCCACCCTGGTAACTTGGCTAGGTTTCTCCTCAGAACTGCTCACACAAAGAACCACCAAATAATCTGTATTTTTCTCCCCCACTGCCTTATTTTGAAACTCAACATTCCTATTTAGCTGAGGAGAAGGTAGAACAGAGAGGTGGCAAGCCCCCATCTGAGAATTGGAATAAAATTTAGTCTATCCACTAGAGGAAGCCGACTGAAATCCCATTAAGGTCAAATTAATAGTATTACCTAGTGGTTGGAAGCAGATGTTTTCTTCAGTTTGTAGTCCTGCTTGGCTGATGTTATGAGTCCATGTTGTCTTGTACGGAGTGCTGTCGGCAGCTGTTCAGAAAAATAGCCATAGTTCAGAAAAAAACAAAAACAAAGCCATGTGTTCCTTACATAACACAAATTTATCTTAAAGTGTAGTGTTTTCAGAAACACATTCACAACATCAGAATATGTCACTTCAAGTCTCTGTCTATAGATAATGTGGAGATTCTTTCCTTTCTGTTTCCTGATACTGTACTGTACATGGTAGCCTGGGTTAAGCTGTATCTGAGCAAAAAGGTATATGACTGAGTCTGTTTGAACTTGACCCTTTGTGATCATTTTCCAGCTCAAAATTACTCTTACAAAGCTGGTGTTGTCTTTTTTTCCATACATGCCCCTGACCCCAAGAAAGATAGAGGATCTCCTTGTTCCTCTTTCTTTGTCCCCTACAAGTAGAAAAGGAACTTGGGGAAGTTGGTTTGATTCTCAGCTGGTAAATGTCAGGAAGGCACGAATTTAAGTAGCTTCGCTTCACTTTTCCTCTGCATTGACAGCCTAATGGATTTAAAACAAAACTGTTGAAGAAGAAAGATATGATAGTACTTTTCAAATACTTGAGAGGATACAGAGGAGGGGCAAGATCTGTTCTCGATCATCCCAGACATGTAATAATGGGCTCAATCTGTAGGAAGCCAGATTTAAGCTGAAAATCAGGGAAAAACTCAATTATTCTATGATTCTACAAAAAGACGAAAAGCTCCGTTTAACAATGACATTTTGTAGTTTGAGCCTGTTCTCGTGACAAGCAAGTCGCATTCTATTTATATGTGACAGTAAGTATAACACTGACTTTCCCCCCCTCTCCTTCAGGCAGAGCAATGCCAACATTCCACTTTCAGGGTTATCTGACAAGCAACGTACTAAAATAAAAAAAGAGTTTTGAACAAGTCTTGACACAAATGTTTGGAAAATGCATTCTTGGAAGTTGAGAAAATCACAGCTATTTTTCTCTTGTGTAGATAAAACTCCCAAATGGATTATGTGTTTGTTAAGTTTGCCCATAATTTCACTTAATAGCCTTGTTAAAAAGAGACAGAGAGAGAAAAGAAAAAAGACATGAAGAAACTGTTCCCACACATTGATGGTTAAGTGACACATGAAAGGTTTTATGGTTCATGGAAAAAGTTATTCTTAATTCATCATCATCCTCTTAGAACTGCAGAGCTGGAAGGGACTCTATGGATCATCACCCTAAGTCCAGCCCCTGCCAAGAAGGTACAGTGGGGAATTAAACTCTGAACGTCTGCCACCATAGGCAGAACCCAAACCACTGAGCTATCCGGCAGTTCAGCTCCAGTAAAAAAAATTCTTGATAAGGAACAAATCAAGCAAAGACAGTGGGAAAGATTGGTACAAACTTCTGCTGCTACATTCTTAAGTGGCATTTGAAATGTTCGGGTGACTTTTTTGAGTAAAAATGCAGTGGAAAAGGAAAATCCTAAACAGTTTTTAAAAATTAAATGTCAATTCCTGTTTTTTTTTAAAAAAATAGCAGCCTGCTTGGCATGAAATGGGGAAGAGGTGCGATTACAGTGGTGCCTCACTTAACAATGTTAATTTGTTCCAGCGAAATCGTTGTAGAACAAAAATGTCATAAAGCGAAAATAACCCATTGAAACGCATTAAAACCTGGTTAATGCGTTCCAGTCGGCTAAAAACTCACTGTCCAGCGAAGATCCTCCATACGGCGGCTATTTTCGGTACCTGTATAGCGAAGAATCCGTCCCTAAGCACACCGGCGGGTGCCTGTGCAGCGAAAAATGGCTCCAAAACACACCGGGGAGCCATTTTGAGCACCCAGCGGCCATTTTGAAAACCCGGCATCAGCTGTTTTGATCGTCGTTATGCGAAGAATCGGTTCCCAAAACAGGGAACCGATCATCGCGCAGTGAAATCCCCCCATTTAAAACATAGTTTTGCGATCGCAATTGCAATCGCAAAAACATTGTCGTGAAGCGGATTCGTCGTAATGCAGGGTAATCATTAAGCACAACTGTATAGCAAAATAGCCCTCCAGATCTCATGTAGTCATGAATATTTTTTTCACAATTAAAAAAAATCCATGGTGCCAGGTGCGCACATGCTTGTGACTTGTACAGTTCTCACTCCTGTTATAGAGAGTACGGCCTCCGGTAGCATGTGATACATTTTTAAAAACCAATTACAATCGTTTGAGGCATATCATTTGTTCACACATCTGTTTTTGCCTTACAGTAGTTCAGAATCTGAGATGGAGGAAGAGGAGGAGGAGGAGGAGGAGGAGGAAGAGCAGCCGCAGCAGCCTACCTCTGACCTGGGGGGTGTACCTTGGAAAGAAGCTGTGCGAATACATGCCATGCTAAAGGGCAAGAGTGAGGAGTTGGAAGCAGAGAGAAACCATGATGAAGAGGAGGAGGAGGAGGAGGAGGGAGAAGAGGAAGAAGAGGAGGAGGAGGAGGAAGGAGAGGAAGAGGTTTCTAGTGAAGGTTAGTAATAGATGCTTTTGTGGTTTTTGTCTGGGGTATGGTTGCAAGTGTGTGTTTTCATCTTAAATCACAGCCATGCAGAACAGTCATCTGATAAATGTAAGAAGGCTTTGTCTGTCTGTCTGTCTGTCTTTTTCCCTCTTTTGTTTTCATGTAAAAAGCTTTGATGTAAATTAGAACAGGAATCAGATTAAATACGTTTGAATAAGCAGTAGCATAAAAAGTGGGGTTCTTTGTCATATCAATTGTTCCTCAGATAGTACTTTGTCTGATCCAAGTTTTGTTCTGTTTCTGATTTTCTTTGGTTTTTACTCTTACAATAAAAAAAAGAAATCTGAAAATGGATGTGTTGCATTCAGGCTTAAGACCGATTTGTAATTTCAGGCCCTGGACTTCAAATGATATTCAGTGTAGACCGTACTGAACTAGAGGGAGCAATGCTTTAGCTTGCTATAAAGCGGCTTCTTGTGCCTCCTCTGAGTTAGTTGCTGAATGGGATAAATCCTTGTCTGATGAAGCTGGTTTGAGGCAAGCCTAATGGAAGATTGATTCAGTCCACAGAGAGAGTTCAAGAGCAGAGTAAGGAGGAGGCAGAGAGGTGTCTTGAATTGAGGTTGGCAAGATGTGGCAATTAAATATGGTGGAAAGACATTGACAAGTCTTTGTGGCTGTGGCTGTCTGAACACCCAGAGGTGGTTAGGCCTGGAAGTATTTAAACAGGTCTCCAAACCAGCACAGAGCAGAGGCATGGCTAATCCAGAATTAGAAACAGCAGAAGGTTTGTCCCCTGTGCTCTGAAGGACTCCTTCTTTTGTGTAAGATTTTGCTCTTGAATCCTTGTTTCTCTTCATTTTCTTTATGGGTTCTTCAGACATAGTTTTAACGGAAGGCAGGAAGTTCATATGACTGAATAAGAAATTACTAGCTATGATAGCTAGAAAATTGCAGCTCTTAAAAAGTTATAGCAGGGTGTTGGCAACCATAGCTACACCAACTCCCTTAGGAGATATCAGTCTAAAGTAGAATAAGGAGGCATATGCTTTGGAGAGAGCAATTTCAATTATTGCAAGTTCTAGGAACCACAAATCTGTAGAAACCTTTAAAAAGTTATATTCCATTTTCCTTTTGGAGAAAGGGCTTGGAGCGTATCTTTCAAATCTGTATTTCAATGTTCGAAATAGACTTTGCTTGCTACAGAACTCCTGTGTTTTCAAGATCTTGGAAGTTACATAACAGGCTATTGATGAGTTAAAGAAATTTTATGTAATGTGCCTAGATGTAAACCGAGCTGCAATTATGCAGCTACATGAAACAGAGAAAAGGTTTTGCTGTTAGGCTGCATTATATTTTTCTGTGTGGATATTGTAGTGGTGTAGTTCAACTATGGATGATTTTTGCTTTCCATTTCAAGTAGATTTAAAGACCTGACATTTCCAGGACTCCTTTACATCTGCCTCATTAAATCTGTATATCAGAAGGTTTAATAGATGAATACCTTAGATAATTTTTGCAATTAAAAATGTCTTATGCAGTAGCAAATTACTTGTGACCCAATATACACCATTAGATGCCTTTACTGCTGTAGAAAATAAAAATGATCAGACAATTCTGGGTCATGAAGAGATAATGAATAGATGTGTTCATCATCATATGGAACAGTATGAATATACAGCTCATATTCCTACCTGGAAACCAGCATTCTCGAACTTAATGCCCTCTAGATGTTTTGAACTACAGTTAACATAATCACTAACCTCTGGCATGCCAGCTGGAGCTTATGTGGATTGTAATCCAGAGTATCTGGTGAGCATTGGTTGGGAATGGCTCACCCAAACCATCCCTGTGTTCTCTCTGATCCTCTGTCCTTGTCTTTTTCTTTCTTTCACTCTCATTTCTATATCAATGCTGTTTGTTGGTGTGTGATTCTCCCTGCTCTAGAGGGAGAGTATTACCCTTGGGAGAGTGAACTTCAGCAAGGCCTCTGGCTTGAACGTCTTTCACATGAAGAGGACACGGGTACATTTAAAGGTACCCCTGCACCAGCACCATTTCTCCTAAGGAAAGAGGGAAGAACCTCATTTTACAAAGAGCAGATTTCACGTGATCCAGCATGTTTTTGTAAAATGCTACATTTACCAAATATTCGTATTTTTACATTGCTGCGAATTCCCAGATCTGGAGCAAATTGTAAATGTACAGTTCAGATTTTGGTTATTCTTCATTTCTTGCAGTAAACACTGTCTGATTAAAGCAGATACTCAGGACAAAGTTTTAATGTATTAAAGATGAGTTGTTGCTGCCAATTTTTCTATGCCATCAAAAGATTAGGCATAAATGAGCACAGTGATATATGCCTTTGGAGTTAAGCACTTCCTGTGGCAACCACTTTCTTCCCAAAATGCTGTGACTCACGTGTACCCTCAGTGATGTCTACATCAAGAGGAATCCACAGGTTACTTTTACTTTCATCATTTTTTTATTTTGAGCTAGATAGATAATGAGTTGAATTGTCTGGCTGCAAAGCTAGGGGTTATTGTTCAGTTCCTGACTGTACCTCCCAGGAAAAGAGCCAGCCATCATAGCTTTGGGCAAGCTGCATAGTCCCAGATTACCTCCAGAAGAAGAAAATTCAGTTCTTTTTTTTAAAAAAAAAAAACCATGAATGCAGGATAGCTTGTTTCTGTAGCCATGATTCAAAAAGCCAGGAAATGGCTCGATATTGCTGCATAATATCATGCCTACATTGCCAGCAGGAAAAAGGATGTCAAACTTAACATACTAAAGGGCACCCTGAATGATGACAACACCAATGACAGCAATCAAGATGGTCTACAGCAGTGGTCCCCAACCTTGGGCCTCCAGATGTTCTTGGACTACAACTACCAGAAGCCTTCACCATCACCTCTGCTGGCCAGGATTTCTGGGAGTTGAAGTCCAAGGTTGGGGGCCCCTGGTCTACAGGGTACCCTCCTCTGCTCACTGTCATTCACAGTTGTTGAAAAACAGCCTTGACATCGCTTTGTGTTTGGGTGAGAAGTGGCTAACTGATGAAAAAAAAAGGAGTCAGCTTCTGGGATTTTCCCTTGCATGGTGTCGCTTTGTGAATGGTAGTGGCTCTGGAGAACTCCTGTTCAGCACCTTGATCAGTAGCCTGTGGAATGTTTCAGGGTTCCGTGGTTCTCCATACTATTTCACATCTACATGAAAGAGGCTGTCCAGAATTTTGTGGTTTGGTACACCCAACTCCATCTGTTTTTTAAGATCTTCCTTAAGGCCCTTCTCTCAGTCTCTAAGGACACCCAACTCCCTCTACCAGGGTCACTAAGTCAGCATATTTTTTAAACTTTTAATTATTCCAAATAATGTGAGAATAAAACTTTCATTTCTGCAAGCCTCTATTGTTATTGTTTAGTCGTTAAGTCATGTCCGACTCTTCATGACCCCATCCATGGACCAGAGCACGACAGGCCTTCCTGTCTTCCACTGCCTCCTGGAGTTTCGTCCAATTCATGTTGGTCGCTTCGGTGACACTGTCCATCCACCTCGTCCTCTGCCATCCCCTTCTCCTCTTGCCTTCACACTTTCTGAACATCAGGGTCTTTTCCAGAGAGTCTTCTGTTCTGAGATGGCCAAAGTATTGGAGCCTCAGCTTCAGGATCTGTCCTTCCAGTGAGCACTCAGGGTTGATTTCCTTCAAAACGGATAGGTTGCTTCTTCTTGCAGTCCAGGGGACTCTCAAGAGTCTCCTCCATCGCCACAATTCAAAGCATCAATTCTTCGGCGGTCAGCCTTCTTTATGGTCCACCTCTCACTTCCATACATTGCTACTTGAAAAACCATAGCTTTTGACTATGCTGACCTTTGTTTGCAAGGTGATGTCTCTGCTTTTTAAGATGCTGTCTACGTTTGTCATCACTTTCCTCCTAAGAAGCAGGCGTCTTTTAATTTTGTGGTTGCTGTCACCATCCGCAGTGATCATGGAGCCCAAGAAGATAAAATCTGTCACTGCCTCCATAACTTTCATTTCTGCAAGCCTCTGTTACAATATTGAAAACCCTGTCCTGTTCTCACCTTATTCCACTTTTTTGTTGTTTCACCCAAAACATCATAAGACTTTATTTAACTTTACATTTATTTGCAATGATTTTTGTATAAATGAATGCAGAACATGACTAGATTAATTGGCTTTTTGTTCTTAATCCAATTATAAACAACAATAGCATACCATGAAGTTGATTCTGATGTATAGCAAATACACACGCACACCTTTAAAATTTGTTTTCTCAGTGTAGTCAGCAGTGGTTTATCAGTCACTTATTCTGGGGTCATCCTGGGACCGTGCAGCTTGCCCAAGGCCATACAGGCTGGCTCTACTTGCAAGAGGTACAGTGGGGAATTGAACTCCCAACCTCTGATTCCAAAACAGATATCTAGCTTACTGAGCTATCCAGCCACGATGCATCCAATTGCTACCCTCACTGCTATCTGAGGGTAGCACTGTGACTTCTGGTTTTTTGTATATGTGTATTTTTTTTTAATTCCATCCATCTGAACATTTCTGGGGGAAATAATCTTTAATTGGTCAAAGCTTAGTTGTGATGGGATGATATGTTTGATAATCCCAAGATAAGGACTATTGTTTCTGGTCATGAGTGAGACCTGCTCTTTGGAAGCCTTGCCAAGTTTCTGTGTGTTAATTCCTTGCCACTCTCAATACCTGTTGGTAGAAACTCATCCTTCTAACCCTACAGCAATGTGATGTGATGTATATACTAACTCTACTTACCGAAGGGCTTGCAGTTGGCAGCACGAGGAGCCACCTGACAGCCAGAGAGCCAGGATCCTTCATTCACTCTTAAAAGCGATCTTTTCCTTCCACAGTTCAGGTTTTCCTGGTGATATGTGTCAGATCAGAATGGTACTTTCTGAAACAGAAAGAAAAGTCATGTCACCAATCAAATACAAGGGGGAAACCCTAATTTTAAAGCCAGTCTCCATTGTAATTTCTGTCTTCTCCTCGTTAAGGCATGCATGATAAACAGCCATTCTGGAGTAATTTTTTGAGTGAAAAAGGAGATTCAGAAGTACTGTAGTCTATTATAAGCCATGCTTGGTAACCAAAATCTCTCTTACCTACTGTACATTTTACTAGCATCTGGGAAATACTACTTTAAAAAGTGTTGGCTTGTATTAAGCTGCATGTTTATTTCTGGTTCTTTGCAGAAAGAATGTTATCTGTTACTCTAATGATACCTGAAGAATAAAATGTAGCCATGTTTTTTCCTTTAAAAATGTTTTGCATCATTGAAGAATTTTTCGCAGAGTGGAATTTGTACCCTGCGTTCATATGTGTGACAAAGAGTATGATGGGGAGTGTATGCATGCAAAATCCTAAACTTTATCTGTCTTCTCTCATCAGCTGATCTCAGCAAGTAACTTCTTTCATTTTGTTTTCCTTCCCTGCATTCCTTTTCCTGCGTTGTGTGCTCCTTTTCCTTCCCTTTCTCTTTCCTCCTTGTTCTCCTTTGCCACTTCATCAACATGATGCACAACTGGCCTCTGGTCTGCTAGCTGGAAATCTGAGGCTGCAGCAGATAGTAAATCCGGTTGATCCCCTGGAGATCTTGGCAGATGTGCATTGGACACACATCCGTCAGAAAGAGGAGGAGGAAAAAGTGGGCCCTACGTCTGTGTCCTCCACCTCCAGAGGTAAACGGGTCCCCTGCATCAACACCCTTCATTAGAAGGGGATTTGTGGTTGTATCTTCAGAAAAGCCAGCTCTCTTTCCTGGGAGTATCTTAGTATGGTGTTTTACCGGTATTAATTTCAAGTTGGTTTTTCATCATTGGTTACAGTTTTTCTGGCTTGCGTGTTGATTGCCCTCCTTGACACTTCAAATGTAATTTACAGAGGGAAATTTCAGAATAGCCTTGCTGAACTAGGTTTGAGTTGAGTATTAGAGCAGTATGGATCCTAAGTAGGACTAAAGGCAGGTAATACAAACAAAGTTGTATTAGTGAGCCCAGTCTCTAGGGGTGGGGAGCGAACAGCTGTAGAAAGGAACAGAAGGATAGTCAGAAGGACTGTATTAAAGATCTTGGAAGTAATAGTGCATCTTTACAAGGGCTGCAGAGTCTTCAGTTGGAATTCTGATATGTTTTGTTCAGTTTGGGATGATACGATACAAGATGCATACTGGGAATTTGGCTGGATTCTGAATAGAGTGATGAGAGAGGAAAAGCAAAAAAAAAATGAGGACAGTCTATGAAAGCTGAGTACAAACTGTATTTTTTGTTGGTCTGGTGATCAAAAACATTTTGTATCTTTCCACTGCACAGTGAGAACACAGTGACTTAGATTGTGTAAAGGAAGTCCTGGGACAGAACACTAACAATGTTTGCATTCTAAGTATCAGATGAATTTCGCTTATTATGTTTGTGGAATCTTTAGAGGTTAGAAAATGATATAAGGAATTCCATAGGGATTAATGCATGCCAGGTATTCTTCCATCCAAGGAGTGACAGCTTCTGTTCCTTGTTCGGTACAGAATTTTGGGGCCTCCAGACAAGGCACCTGGTTGGGCCTCTTTAGACTGAGAGGGGCAGAGTGTCCAAACCTAAATAGATTCTCACGTTACCTCTGGTCTTCTTGGGTACAGTATTCTGTGCAGCATAAGCTGTCCCTGGAATAGCTGACCCTTTTCCATTTTTTGAAACCTTAACAAGTACCTAGACATGCCATCCTCTGTAGCTAATGTTGGTTAAATCATGCCAAGCCTGTGTTCCTGAAGGACTTCCCTAGAATACAGTTGTTTCACACAATAAATGTGCAGTGTATTACTTTTCTATTACAAGGAATCTCATACACAGCTTGGAAAAGTTATTCAGGTTGTAGTGCCCAGAATCTTCTAGCCAGCAGGAACTGTAACCATGATGTTTTTTTCAATTCTGGGTGTTACAACAACAATAAAAAAATTAATAATAATATATTTTCTAAACTCTTAATTTCCCCTCTAGGCAATGCTTCAGTTGTTAATTAATTAATTTATTCATTTAATTTGTAGCCTGCCATTCTTTCAGTGAGGCCAAGGCAACATAAATGAGTGCCCTCCCCCACACACAAACACACTCCATCGTCACAACAAGCTGTAAGTGAATTCCAGGGTCATCCACTGAACTTCATTGCCAAGCAGAAAATTTCACCCCGGTCTCCTGAGTCCCAGTCCAACATTCTAACCACTACATCATGCTGGCTTTTATTATACACCATGTTTCCTTTAATCAAATATTAGTATACTGTTGCTGGTTAGAAAAGCTATCAAGATCTACAGCTCCTGTTGGTAAACTATTAATTGATCATCTTCAAATCATTAACTTGCCTTGTCTTTCTTGTATTTTCCTGTAAGTAGAATTCTAACTTGTCCTGGTGTGTTTTGAGTTGTTACTTAAAGTAAATGGAGAATGGATCATATGAACACATTTTGCAATAGAAAAGCTACCTTTTTTGGTTGTTGTGGGTTTTTCAGGCTCTTTGGCCATGTTCTGAAGGTCGTTCCCAAAACAAACAAACTCCACCAGAGCACAGAGTGCTGCTCCTGTCCTCTGAAGATGCCGGCCACAGAGACTGGTAAAACGTTAGGGAGAACAACCTCCAGAACATGACCAAAGAGCCCAAAAAAACCACAACAACCATCAGATCCCGGCTGTGAAAGCCTTCGCGAATACACTCCCTTTTTTTGTTTGTTTCACTCTTTTTTTTATGTTAAAAGATGTTTAAGTGCCTCTCCTTCAACATAAGTGATTCCTTTGTACCTCTGGCTACATATATATCCCCATCCAGAACTGACCAGGTCTTTAAGAATGCCACCCTGGCATTATTATTCTCTGCTCATGCCCTTCTCTGCCTGTTCTTGTTCAACTGTATATATTGTGTGACTGGCTTTCTAATCTAAAAAGTCTTAAAGTTTTCCCCCCGACAGTTTGCAGTTCTAAAATCTCAGTGCCAGAAACTGAAAAACTCACTTCCAGAACATTGGATATCTCTTCTCTTCTTTTTCTGCTTTTCTACTTTGTGACCTCTGGTAGATCTTGGGCCCGCGGGGGGCTTATTTGGGAGCATAGCAGCTATTTATTTTGCTTTATTCCACACAGTTTAGCTTTCTCTGATGACCTGAATTCTGTCTCTATTCCCTTTGCCTCTCAAGATCTCAGTTTTCTGCCATCTTACCCTCTCTAGCTTCTTAGGTTTTCTGTCTCCAAAGAAAAATGGGGCATTAAAGGTTTTCAAGTTTTGTGATTTACATAAAAGATCCAAGAGAAGAGTACAAAGTGATTATGATGTGATAATGGAACACTGAATAGCGAAGGATAATGCCTCTTTTGCACTTTGTGCAGTAGTTCAGAAGACGCTTTATATAGTGAGCAGAAGAACCTGATGGACGTAAAGATTGCTGAAGGAACAGGTAGCAGCTATTTACAGCTAGTTGTTAGACTGCATGCCCATGCTGAAAGGTTGGGGAAAGGATGCCCTTGAGGTAACATACATGAATATGATAGGAAGAAGAAGCATGTAATGGATGGGTTTGGTTAAAGGTGCAGAGATCTGGAGGACTTTTCTGCTAAGTTACATACAGCATTTCAAAGGAGTGCAAAAAGGTTCCTAGTGAAACTGCATAGAAAGTGTAGGCTTCTCCAGATATCGTTGAACTGCAGCTTGGATCTGTCCTGGCCGTCATAGTCAGTAGTGAGGGCTGATGAAAGTTGGAGGCCAGGCCTTCTCCATCCTTGACATAAGTGTTCATGGTCACTAGGGGCAGGTAGTGCTTCTGGTCTGAACAAAAGGAGAAACACCAGGTTGGACTGCTGCAGATTGTTTGGACAATTGCTTATTTGTTAATTAGAGAGAGTGACTTCTTTGGCTGCAAGTGGATGACAAAAGCCACTGCAGTAGATATGTGGCTCTCAGGATCCATGCTTCATCCCTCCCTTCTTGACCAGTTTGGATATTGGAGTCTTATCTTCCTTTGTTCAATGTCTCCTTGTCTTGTTTTCTCTTCTTGTGTGTTTGTATATTCCCTTCCACGTTGTTTCCATTTCAAAGTTACGTGTTTTCTGTGCTCTTTATTTATTATCCTTTTATTTTATTCTATTTTAATTCAGCCTCCGATCTTCCCTCCACCAAACGCCATGATGCAGTGCAGGCGTGGCTGGATGCCGCCCCTGGAGGTAGTTCTGGTGATGTTCTGTTTACGTTCACAAATAACTCTGCCCGCCACTGCTGGCACTGCTGCCTATCCATGTTTTCAGCGGCCCAGGTGCTGGCCCATTTTTAACCACCAGGCTATCTACCCCTTTGTCGCTCTTGCATGCTGAATTGGGGAGGGGAAGGGAGGGAAGAGAGGGGTTGCATGTTTTGCTGAGATGGGCCAATTGTGCATGAAATAGGCTTCTATCTTTAACCTCCTGCAAGATAGGCCAGATATGTAAAAAATGAAAGAAATGCAAGAATTCGAGAGGCTGAAACCCATTTTGTATTAGATAACTAGGACCAATTCAGATACATAATTTTCTCTGTGTGATACTGCAGGAGCACCATATGTTTTAAATGTTCTTACATTGTGCACCATGCTGATAAAGCTGATTAGGCATTTATATAGCACAGAAGGTCCAGAGTGCATCTGTTTTAGTGGCTCACTGTTTCTTAAAACAACCTGGAGGTAGGTTAGAAGTACATTCCCCTATTTCAGATGGCAGCTGAGGCTAAGTGGTGATGCCTCGTTTATCACCTCCTGGTGCAGCCTTCCCAACCTGATGTCTTCCATATCTTGTTGGATTTCGACAGGAAAAAGATGTTGTACTAAAATGGCAGCAGGGGAGGGAAGAATTAATCCTTCCTTCTTATGCACTTAGGCCTTTATCCTTTTCATAGCCCCTGAGGAGCTAGAAGTTACTTAAAACTACACTGATGCAGTGTAATACGTTGATTTAATTTAACATGTAATAGTGCCTGCAGCGTGTGTCCACACTAGGAGTCTTTCACATGATTGGCTCCTGACGTTCACAAGAGGACGTTATGCAGTCTCTGCTGTGATCTGTCACTCTTAAAGTATTCTATTTCCTGTAAATTTTCTTTCACACAAACTTTTTTACATGTTACAGGACAGAAACTTCCCCATTGTTGGTCTGGACAGAAGCATTTCGCTTCATTTCTTCCCCAGCCAATGCTTTTTTCATTTTAGTTACATTTATTCGAGTGTCAGGGTTAGCTCTGAGGAGAAAACAAAAATAATGTGTGCCTGTAATTCCAGAAGTATACTTGCGCATGAAGCAAAACAAGGGGTTCCAGGATGCCTGCTTGAAGGCACTCTGAAGTCAAAAGTGCACTCCAAATGGAAATGCTGTGGAGACTTGGAAGCAGAGTGTCGTCCTAAAGTCTGAGAAGCATGTTACCTGTACATGCCATATAGTTGTGTACGGATTTCCCTGTTAGAACAACATCTCCTTAAAGATTTTTTTTTGGCAGTGACCCTAGGAAAAGCTTTCCTGTTCTGGATTATAAAGGCCACCACTACTCTGCCCTGCTCCCTAACCTTATTGTCCAGACTACGCCTCTGCCAGGAGAACAAACCGACAACCTTAATTTTGCGCATTAGAACAGTTATCACTTGAGGTGTATCGTATTGAATGCATGGACGCAATTAGTGCATTTCTAAAACTTTTTGCTTCTGACAGCAGAGCTTACAGGATGGCTGCATATTACCTTATCCAGTTCTGGCTGATAACCAGCCTGGACAAAAATGTTGCCTCTGTTACTTTCTGGCTACTGTAGTACATAGCAGCTGACAAATTTCTGTGTGACAGCTTTTATCCCCTTGCACTTCATCTTTAACCGCATAAAGTGTGTAAATACAAGCTTGTACTGTAACTGTGAATAAACACACATCTTCCTTTTATCCCACAGAGATGTTTTGCACTATTGTGTTGCTAATCAATATTTCTATTAAGTATGCCACCAAAGTCTGGTTTCTTGATTTCTTCACATAATTTACAGAGTACTTATGAGCAATAGCCTGATAGCTTAGGTGGTAACAGGATCTCCTGTTTTTCAAAAGCGTTCCAAAGTGTTGCATCGTTTAACTGTGGGATGCTATTCTCAAATATGCTGTACTGTCATTGCTTTGAATGGTTTCTTAGCCTAGTCGAAGCCCAGAATCAGGACCAATGCTTTGAAACTACAATTTAAGTTTCTATATTGGTCAAAAGAAGTGACAGAAGATAAATGTTAACAGTTCACCCAGACAATTTCAAGGCACCAAAGTTCTTTAACAAATATCCAGTGCAGGTCCAAAATACCTTTATTAAATTCACTAGAGTGGATAGATTTCTACATTTATGCAGGAAAAATCAGGAAAAGGCCTCACAGTCATGGAAACAGTACAGATTTATTCAGTATATGTAAGCTAAGCTTACATGATCAGTGCAATTCAACTCATGCTTGACCTCAGATGAACATTGGTAGAGATACATAATAGTTCGTCCTTCATTTTTGAAGGCCATCTCCATCCGGTTCAGATTCACCTTTTGGAGAAAAAAGAAGTGAACAGTTAAGGTTGAGTAGTTACATGTTGATGGATGCGCTGGTGACTAGCCCAGTATGAACCCAGAAGATGCAGAAACAGTGGGAGGAGGTTAGCTTATCACATATTTGAAAGCTCCCACATATTAAAAACAACAAACATCTGTTTTACTGTACCGTTCTCTTTCATGCAGCAGGTTTCCATGTATAGAGTATTGTTTCATGGGGAGAAGTAGTCAAACATGCACACACACGTGCACACACACACACTCTCTCTTTCTATCTACAGCCCGACAGTCTAACAAGTGCTGCATCTCATGATTTTACTGTTTCCAGAGCTTGGGTGTATCTCACAGAGATGTTTCAGGAAGAATGGAGTTCCAAATAAACCAAACACTTTTACCTTGGAGCTTGAACACACATAGCTCTTTTTCCCCCCTCCCTTCTCAGCTGTCCCCACCCCTGGATATTAAAATCTTTGTATCAAATTTATTCTAGCACTATGTGAGGAGAATGACTACGAAGATGAGGTGGGCACCGAGCCTGCAGAAGCTTTTGAAGATGGAGATACGGGTGCAGAACTAGACGATGGTATGCAGCTATGAATTTTTTAATGTACTGTCAAACGTTGGGTATGTCAAGCCTTGTCCTTTCGATACAAGCTGGTGTGGTCTAAATAGGGTCAGTTGAGGCAGAGAGGGAGCAACACGTTCTTTGTTGCAGTCTTATGTTCAAATTCATATCAACCTCAAGTGCTGTGTGCCGAAGTGGCAAATTTGTGCAAAGTCAGAGCTTGGGGAAAAGGAAAGGGGAGGGGTTAAAGTAAGGATGGGAAAGACAGGCAGCAGAGGTGGAGAAAGAGAGGCAGGCTACACATGCAAGGGGGAAAAAAGCAGCCAGTCACCAGCCAAAAGCAGATAGACACTATCTGCCCTTAGTGCTCCCCTTCCACTACACTGAATTTGGAGAGTGGGGAGGCAGGAAGAGGCAGAGAGAAAGGAGCAGGATAGGCAGAGAAGAGGGTGTGCAGTTCCTCACAACCACCACCCTGATCTCGGCGGTAGAGACCAAAGAAAGGAATCACTCTTTTGCACCTTGTACTGTGTGTATGTGTGTGTGTGTGTCTCAGATTGCTTGGAGGGTGCAACACAGATTAAAAAGGAAAGGAGGGGTGTGTGCAGTGGACCCTTGACCGAGGACTTAATCCATATTGGAACGGTGGCTGCGGGTCGATAAGTCCGTACGTCGAGGGTCCATTTCCCACAGGAATGCATTGAAAACCCATTAATCCATAACCGGCCAAAGAAAAAAAATCACCCCCCACAAAAAATTAAAATAAGTACACCTTACCAGTCCGAAGCCTTCCAGGGGTCCCCTGCTGCCGCCATTGCCGCTGCCCGAGGCCTCCGAGGGCTTCTCCGCCGCTGCTGGAGGCCTCTCAGAGGTTCCCCGCCCCTGCCGACGCAGGCTTTCCCAGGGTGGACCGGTCCTACCAGGGGAGGGCTTCCCCGGCAAGCCCAGTCTATCCTGAGAAAGCCGGCGGCAGTGGCCAACCTCCGAGATGCCTCCCATGGCAGCAAAGAAGCCCTGGTAGGCTTCCGGAGGTCCCTCTCACTGCCGATCATGCCTCTGGAGAAGCTTCGGAGGCATGATCGGCAGCGAGGGGGACGAGGCATGATCAGCAGCGAGGGGGACCTCCAGAGGCCTTTCAGGGCTTCTCCGCCACCAAGGGAGGCATCTCGGCGGTGGGGGGACCTCCAAGATGCCTCCCATGATGGCAGAGAAACCCTGGGAGGCATCCGGAGGCACAATCAGCGGCCTACGGACCAGGAGGAGGCATGGAAAGCGGCAAATTCGAATTTGGCACTTTCCCCGCCTCTCCCGGTCTGTAGGTCGATTCTCCAGACACAAATTGATGGGAAATTTTGTGGCTGGGGAAGATTGTGCAGTACCTCGCAA